AAAACTGATGTGATGAGTAACTAGAATAAAGTAACAAATGTCTAAAGATGAGCAAGAAAAAGACAAAACACCGAATAGAAAACATGAAACAGGAAGAAGGTGTGGAAGAAGGTGAAGCCAGAGTGGCTAATGAGCGTAAGAGGAGATGCCAGCCTCACTGATAACATCCCCGGTGGCTGCCTCTGGCTGCAGAGCAACCTGGACAGTCACGTGTCTCGGCTCTCCAGCCTTTCTTTTCTTTCTTTTTATTTTTGACCATTCTTTCAAGTGAAGTAATTTAAAATATTCTTTTTTTTTTTTTTAAATAGAAATGGGGTTTTGCTCTTGCTTAAGCTGGTCTCGAACTCCTGAGCTCAAGCAATCCTCCCGCCTTGGCCTCCCAGAGTGCTAGGATTATGGGCATGAGCCACCGCACTCGGCCTACTCTAGCCTTTCTAGTGGGAGGCAAAGAGGAGGCTGTGAAGGTTGGGGATAGCCAATCTGCAGTCTGCCACGTACGTACCATTCATAAAGAGCGTTTAATTTCCCTAGAGTGAGAGACTAATGAGGTCCAAGCTGCGGCTATGAAAGTTAGTTTTACTCTGTTCTGTAGCCACAGACTGAATGCCTAACTCAGGCTGACCATCTCACCAATATGGGTAACAGGTAAGAGCGGAGAAAGTACAGCACAAGCTTCTTTCTTTCTTTCTTAAAATCTTTCGGCAGATGCTCTGGTGGATACATAGTATCGTTTTCGTTCTTCATTGCTCTTCTACCCTCAGGAACCCACTCCAGTGTGTTAATGAATGCCATTCCAACTCTTATATATTTGGATATATATTTATATTTAAAACATAAATATTTTGTACATATGTTTAATTTACACAAATGAGATTGTAATATAAAGCTCATTGTTTCTTTTGTAACTCACATTACGTTTTTAAGATCCACCCATAGTGATCTATGTAAATCCAGTTTACTGCTTTTGACTGATGCATAGTTTTCTATGATGTGCATGTACTACATCGTCCATTCCCCTAACATGGGTGCTCAGGTCGTGTCCAGCTTCTTCCTGCTACAAACTGTGGCACGACGGACCTCTCAAGGGCTTGTGCAGAGTTCTCTGGGTTATTCTTCCAGGAACAGAATTGCTGAATTATGGGGCATATGTCTCCTTCATTTCCTAGTAAGCACCACTGGACAGCAGCCTCTTCAGAATAGCTGCCGTGACAGCGGTGAGCCTTATCTGCTTGCACAGCCCTCTGCACCCTTAGGCCATGTCTTAGTCCGTTTTGTGTTGCTACGACAGGATATCTGAGGCTAGGCAATTTATAAAGAAGAGAGGTTTATTTATCTTGGGGTTCTGCAGGCTGGAAAGTTCAAGGGCATGGCCCTGGCTTCTGGTGAGGGCTTCTGTGCTGCATCATAACATGGTGGAGAAGGTCAAAGGGGAAGCGGACACATGTGGATAGGGAAAACCTGAGGGGCATCCTGGCTTTATAACAACCTGCTCTTCATGGGAACTAATCCATTCCTGTGAGAACTAATCTGGTCTTGCCAGAGCAAGAACTCACTGCTGTAAGAATGGCACCAAACCATTCATGGCATGGCCCCAACACCACCCACTAGGCCTCACCTCCCAACATCACCACTTTGGGGATCAAACTTAAACATGAGTTTTTGTGGGGACAAACAAACCCTGTCCAAACCATAGCAGGTATTGACCATGAGGCTCCCCCCACTATCACCACCACTGACCCAGGATAAGTCTCCCCTGGAAACACTTTCAAGTCAAAAGGTATGGCACTGGAGGGGAGTGTTAAAGGCATGCAGCTGTAGACACTCTCTGTAGCCATCTTGTGTGAGCAGCTGTGAACTATGTCATTAAATGACTTCCCAAGAGTCACAACTTGTAGATTCAAAACTGCCCCTCTATTAATCAGAACACAGGAAATGGGTTGGTGGGTCAGGAAGAACATTCTGGGCAGAGAGAACAGCATTATGCAAAAGCCTGGGATGAGAGAGAATGAAACAATGCAAGGCCCTGACAGAAGCCACTGTAGCTGGAGCACAGGGGTAAGTTGTGGGAGGCAAGGCTGGGCAGATAGTCAGGGGAAAGAACAACCTGGGCTGTTACTTGTTTTGGATTTTACACTAAGTGTTAAGGGAGATCATTGAAGGGGTTGAAAGACCACTCTGGATCCTAGGTAGAGAACACTTTGAAAATGTCAGTAATAGGAGATTAATTAAGTTATTGCAGGAGTCTAGGTGAGAGTTGATGGAGGCCTGGACCAGAGTTATGGGGGAACAGGTGAAGGGAATTGGATGGATTCCAAATATATTCTTGAAGTAGAATCACCAGTATTTGTAAACGAATTGGATGTTGAGGATGAGGAAGGTGTCAAGAAAGGCTCCCATGAACAGCTGGGTAGATGGGATGCAATTTTCTAACGTGGAGACTACTGAGAGAGAAGCAAATAATAGGGGGAAGAGCAGGAGTTCTCTTTAAGCTATGTTAAGTTTGAGACATCCAAATAGAGGTGGCAAATATGGGCATGCAAATAATACGGATCTAGAGTTCAGAAGAGAGTTTGACTATAAAAAATTAATCTGGAAGTAGGTGATATTTAAAGCTGCAGAAATTGATAGATTACTTAGGTAGTGAATGTACATGCAGTAAGGAGAAATGAGGGCTTAGTGTGGAAACTGGAGGATCTCCAACATTTAGAGGCTAAGTAATGGAGAGGAATCAGCAAATTAGACTGAGCAGTGGCCAGACATGTAGAACATAGCACAGAGTGTGGTGTCACAGAAGCCAAAATGAGGCTTCTATAAGTCAAAAAAGGTGTAGATCACTGGGGTCATTGGATTGGGCAACATGGAGGTCACTACAGGCCTTTCTGATAGAAGTTCTTCTGGACTGTTGAGCATGCAAGCCATTGAAATGGGTTGAAAAGAAGGTACTTATATTTATGGCAGTATTTGGGATTAATTAGCTTGAAAATCTTTCTATATAAAGTACCTGGAAATGCTGGATGAATAGAACAAATCATTTTTAATTGAAAAGCCAAGTACCCAAGAAAATAAAGGAAATCCCTTGGGGTTAAAAAAAGGGAGAGATACCTTGAAACCTCAGAATCTTAGCTGATTCTAAAACTATAATTGCCCTGGAAGCATTTGTCAATTTTGGCAACTGAGAAAATTAAGTTTAACAGCTACCCAAGAAGAAACAGAAAGGCCTTGGGACCCTAAAAAGTAGGGAGTTGGAACTGAGAGCCCCCCACACCGACACCCCAATACAATTGGAATCCTCGAAGGGTGACATGTTGAGTGAAAAGATGGAATAGCAAGAATCTGCTGCCTGGTAAAAGGAAATGATAAGCAGGTTGCCTTTCTTGGCCAGGTGCACTGGCTCACGTCTATAATCCTAGCACTCTGGGAGGCCAAGGTGGGAGGATTCCTAAAGGCCAGAGTTCAAGACTATCCTGAGCAAGAGCAAGACCCTGTCTCTACAAAGTACGGAAAAAGTAGCTGGGCATAGTGGCACATGCCTGTGGTTCAGCTACTTGGGAGGTTGAGGCAGAAGAATTGCTTGAGCCCAGGAGTTTAAGGCTACAGTGAGCTACAGTGACACCACTGCACTCAGCTGGGACAACAAAGTGAGACTCTGTCACCCCCCCCCCAAAAAAAATTGCTTTTCTTGTGTTGGGCTTTGAGTGAGGAAAACTAAAGACTCTTCCCTAGAATTGAAAACCACACATCCTCTCACATGTGTTTGAGGTTCAAAATTACACCACCTACATGGTCTGGATAATCCTTGGATTAGAAATTAAATTATACTGCATTCAATTTGATAGTGCATAAGGGCATCTGGTAAAAACAAAGCAAATCTTCTTTGGAAGGATACATTCTCTATACAGGCATCCCAAGCCCCACCTGAAATGAGCTCATAACCCCAAATTGCAAAACACAAGAGAGAATGCCACTCTAAATGAGTCAGAAAACAACACACTATAGAACTAGATTCTGAAGGGCATTAGGAATTGGAATAATTAGTGATAGAATACTAAATAAGTATGTTTAACATGTTTAAAGAAATAAAAGGTGGGAAAAACACCCATGAAAGAACAATGCCATCCAAAAAGGCAAGGAAGATTTGAAAAGAGCAAGACTGCTTCTAGTAATAAAAATGTAAGTATTTAAGTCGATACTTCAATGATGCTTAAACAGCAGACTAAAACTGAAAAGAGAATTAGAGAATTTGAAGGTAACCTGGCGCCACCCAGAGAGAAAAATGGGTTGAGAGATATAGAAAACAGAATGAAAAGGTTTATCACATGTCTAAATGAAGAGAATCAAGAGAATGCTGGGGAGAACATATTCCAGGATATGTCTGAGAATCTTCTGGAGGTCATGAAATGAAAAGTGCGACTCTTCTGATTTGGGAATCACAGTGTATCAGCATGTAAGAGTACTAAAAAAGAAACCTACCCCTGGACACAGTGGCGGAATTGCAGGACAGTGAAGACAGATTTTTACAGCTGCCAAAAGGAAAAGACAGATGAGCAGCAGTTTGTTCTCAGGCAGAATTCTCAACAGGAACCAGAGAAACCAGAAGACAGCAGAATAGTGTCTTCAAAGCCTGGCCAGACATAACTGTCCACCTAGAATGCAGACGTAGCTAAACCATCATCCATGAACCGGCTGCACAAAGCAAGACGGGAGCCATTTCTAGATTTCTAAAGGATACACTTGAGGGCGAAGGAGGCCTGAGGATGCTTCAAGAAGGACGTAGATTTGCGATGTCAGAGGAAACGGTGAGCAAAGAAATAGATGGGTAGAGCTGGGTAAATGTATAAAACAGGAATAATAACAGGGTCGAATTTTGCAGGTTAAAGGCCAGGGTGGGAAAGCCACGGCGGCAGCGGGAGGGGCTGCGAGTCCTCAACCCACAGCTCCGGTGAGGTCTTGCAGTGGCGGCCGGTGCGCAGCCGCCCGCGCGTGCGCGGTCCGTTCTAGAACGCTGCCGCCTAGGGGCCCCGGGCGCCATGTTGGGGCCGAGTAGCAGAAGTGCTTGAAGCCGTGGTGCAGAGCGGTAGCGGGGTCGGACCAGGGCTGGTAGGAGCCCCGCCCCTCCCGCCTCAGCGGATCATGACCCGGGCGGTGGCCGCGGAGGTCGCGGTGGGGTGGGACGTGCCCTGGTGGGGCGGGCTCTGAAGATGATGCCGTTTCCGGTGACAACCCAGGGATCACAACAGACGGCGCTGCCACAGAAGCACTATGGCATCTCCTCACCTATCAGTCTAGCGGCCCCCAAGGACACTGACGGTTCACTTACCCAGAAATTAATCGAAACTCTGAAGCCCTTTGGGGTGTTTGAAGAGGAAGAGGAACTGCAGCGCAGGATTTTAATTTTGGAAAAATTAAATAATCTGGTAAAGGAGTGGATACGAGAAATCAGTGAAAGCAAGAGTCTTCCACAAGCTGTAGTTGAAAATGTTGGGGGAAAAATTTTTACATTTGGCTCTTACAGATTAGGAGTACATACAAAAGGTGCCGATATTGATGCATTGTGCGTTGCACCAAGACATGTTGATCGAAGTGACTTTTTCACCTCATTCTATGATAAATTGAAACTACAGGAAGAAGTAAAAGATTTAAGGGCTGTTGAGGAGGCATTTGTACCAGTTATCAAACTGTGTTTTGATGGGATAGAGATTGATATTTTATTTGCAAGATTAGCACTGCAGACTATTCCAGAAGATTTGGACCTAAGAGATGACAGTCTGCTTAAAAATTTAGATATTAGATGCATAAGAAGCCTTAATGGTTGCCGGGTAACTGATGAAATTTTACATCTAGTACCAAACATTGACAACTTCAGGTTAACTCTGAGAGCCATCAAATTGTGGGCCAAATGCCACAATATCTATTCCAATATATTAGGTTTCCTTGGAGGTGTTTCCTGGGCTATGCTAGTAGCGAGAACTTGTCAGCTTTATCCAAATGCAGTAGCATCAACTCTTGTACGTAAATTTTTCTTGGTATTTTCTGAATGGGAATGGCCAAATCCAGTGTTACTGAAAGAGCCCGAAGAACAGAATCTTAATTTGCCTGTATGGGACCCAAGAGTAAATCCCAGTGACAGGTATCATCTTATGCCTATAATTACACCAGCATATCCACAGCAGAACTCCACATACAATGTGTCTGTTTCAACCAGGATGGTCATGATTGAGGAGTTTAAACAAGGGCTTGCTATCACACATGAAATTTTGCTGAGTAAAGCAGAGTGGTCCAAACTTTTTGAAGCTCCAAGCTTCTTTCAAAAGTACAAGCATTATATTGTACTTCTGGCAAGTGCACCAACAGAAAAACAACATCTAGAATGGGTAGGCTTGGTGGAATCAAAGATCCGAATCCTGGTTGGAAGCTTGGAGAAGAATGAATTTATTACACTGGCACATGTGAATCCCCAGTCATTTCCAGCACCCAAAGAAAATCCTGATAAGGAAGAATTTCGTACAATGTGGGTAATTGGGTTAGTGTTAAAAAAGCCAGAAAACTCTGAAATTCTCAGTATCGATCTCACCTATGATATTCAGTCTTTTACAGATACAGTTTATAGGCAAGCGATAAATAGTAAGATGTTTGAGATGGAAATGAAAATTGCTGCAATGCATTTAAGAAAAAAGGAACTTCATCAACTACTGCCTAATCATGTGCTTCAGAAGAAGAGAACACATTCAGCAGAAGGTGTGAGATTGACAGTTTTGAATGACAGCGGCCTTGACTTGTCTGTAGACAATGAAAATGGCGTTTCTGTACCTTCACCTCCTAGCACTATGAAGATTGGCTCATTGACTGACAGCTCTCAGGGCAGAAACAGTCCTTCCCTGACTGTAATGGCAGCACCTGTGACCCACATACAGGCTACTGAAATTTCCTTGCAACAAGTGAATCCCAGTGAAAGCTCAAGGGTTGCATTGAGTGAAAGTGTTCCTCAAACTGCCACTCCACCACCACCAAAACCCATGGTCCCCAGAGTAGTTTCTTCAACATGTCTGGTAAGCCATCCACCCAGACCTTCAGGAAACACAGCAACAAATATACCTAATCCTATCATAGGAGTCTAGAGGACATTCTCACCTCATAAAGAAGAAACAAACAAGAAAACAAAAATAGAAGAGGAAAACTCTGTAAAGAGACAAATACGACTCTATTAGAAACAATTTAGACAGTGGCTTCTCTGTTGGCCTCTCGGGAAACATCTAGTACAGATCTTTCCAATATGCTTGTTCTCCCTGCAAATCCTATTCCTGTTATAAAGAATTCAATAAAACAGATTGAACGGATAAAAACAACCTCAAGGGTCCATAAACAATATCTTCCAACTCAACTGTTGTCTTCATATACTAAAGAAGGAGAATGAAGGGTACCACACTAGATATGACTTGACATAGATTTAGGGTCATTTGGTAACTTTCTTCACTGACGCTAATCTCGATCAGAAGTCCAGATTAGTATGTGGAATAGAGGTACTATTGTTGATGTGTCAGATTATCAATGTGTCAGCAACAGTTACATTAACTATTTCAAAGGACTACTGCCCTTGAAAAAACCCTCTAGCTATATTTGTACCCATAACTGACATCTGGACTGGATTTAAGTTTGATGCATTGTTGGGAAAATTTGCAATACAAACTGGTATCAGAATTCCTTATACTGATGATGCACTTTATGTATATTTTTTATTAGAAGGTAGAACTAACTAGGTTTTTCAACTTGAGGAATTTTAGTTTTTTTCCTGAAGAAGTTTCTTCATTATTAATCTTAATTGGATACCATTGTGCAGTGGTAACACTATACTTCAGAGAAAGCATAAAAGTACATTTAGCTCAGTCCCTGCAAAGTAGCTGTAACCCTTTAGAATAAAATTCAACTTTAGGGTACGTATTTGACATCAAGACAATAATTAGTCGTTGGTTTTGATGGGACATGATCAAGAAATGATATTTATTTTATCTGTAGAATTGTTTTAGAGAGTATATAATCAGCGATCATTTTCTTTGAGCTAACAAAGCTCCATATTCTCTTGTCCTCAATCATTTGTCCTAAGAAAAAAAAGGCTTTTTGCCTCCCCCTCTTCTCTTGTATGAACAAGGTATGCTTGTATGTCATTTCATATAAAAGCCCAGAATACTAGTATTTTCTAAACCATGATGTGAAACCCATACTCCTGTGGCTACATGGCACAAAACACCAAATTTTGGTTCCATGGCTAATATTTTAATAAAACTTTACTAGGCCTAAAGCCTGTGAAACATGTTAGTGGCCTTGGATGGCCATTCGATCTCTACATATGAGAAATTTTGTAAATCCCACAGAATGCCTGCTTATAGGAAAGCTAATTTCCGATTTTAAACATGTAGGCAAAACAGCATTTTCTCCAAGAATTTTAAGCCAATTTTTATTTTTAAATTACTTATCAAAATTCATCAGTAAATTTTACATATAGAAACATATAAAAATAATTTCTAGTAAACACTTGACATCCAGTCAATTTTCTATTCTTTTGCTTTATCCTACAAAAAATTAGGAATACGTTGCTTAAAATTAAAAAACCCTCATAATTAAGCAGCAGAACATCCATGTTTATGGAAAACATGAGGGACAGCAGACATAGATGAATGAAAGGTTGGTCTTTCTTAATCTAGACACTGTGAACTTCACAGGCTTTCCAGTTAGCCTGGTTCTGACCTCCCACCCGTCCCTAGCTGTGTTCCTTTCTACTACATGTGCATTTTCATGTTAAACTGTGATTACTTCAACTCTTTTCCTGTCCTTCTGGATTAATTTTCCGAAGTTGGAATATAGTATTTTTTTCTTTTAGGCTATGCGGTACTTGAGACTTTCTTTTCACCATTACTTTTTGATGTCTAGTGTACAGTATTTCTGTTTCTCACATCTTTGCCCTGTGCAATCACCTTACCCTTTCACCATGATAATAAATCAGGTGAAGTGTGTGCCATGTTTGTGTATTTTGGGTAGCTATAATGTAAGGTTGAAATCGCCAGGCACAAATTTAGTCTTGTCATTTTGTTTACACATTGGGAAAAAAATTAGTTTATTAAACATTTCTTGTAATTGTACCTGCTTTACCAAGCTGGAAACTTGGGACTTTTTATTTCTAATTTTTATTACCTATCAGACTTTTTTTTTCACATGATGTATGTAGTGACTGGAGTTTGCTTTGTTTTATAGTATCTGTACTCCTTGTATTTTTAAGCACTATTTTGAAAACAGATGATGTATTTATCCATTTAAAACACAATAAAAATAAATGGCAAACAAACAAAGTGAAACTGAAATCCTGGAAAATAACGTTTAAATCTGACATAAAAGTTCAGATGTACTGACATTGTTCAGAAGGAGGGTAGTAGACACTGCTGAAATTTTTGACTTTATTGTAAAGTCTAGAATGCATGTTATAATGTTTGGGGAAACAAGAAAAGCTTAAAATTTCAAATCAATGAAGGTAAAAAATGAAGTTAAATATCTTAATCCAAAAGAAAACAGGAAAGAAAGGGAGAGAAAATCATAGAAAAAAATAGGATAAAAAGAAAATAAAATCTATGGTTGCAGAAATGAAAGCAAATATATCTGTCACTACAACAAATGGACCAAACTTCCTGACTAAGAGATTGTCAGATTCCATGGGAAAACCAAGTCCGGTGGTATGCTATTTCGTTTATGAGAGACACATCCAAAATATAAGGACTTGAAAAAATAGAAAAAGGCTGTACTAATGAAAAGAAGCGGATATAGTAACAGTATCGTGCAAACAAGATTTCAAAGCAAAAATAATTATTAGGGACAGAAGGGCCACTGCATTAGTGATAGAAGAAATAATGCACCAAGAAAATGGAATAATTTAAAACTTGTTTGCCCCTAATAAATTAGCGTCAACATAAAATAGCAAAACAGAGATAAACAGAAATTTCCAAATGTGTCATTATCATAGAAGATTTCAAAACAGCTCTTTTATTAATTGATATCAAGCAGACAAAAAATAGAAGGGAAACAGTTTTTAAACACAATTTAGTGGTTGGTGAACTTTTTCTATTAAGGGCCCAGATAGTAAATATTTTCAGCTTCACGAGGCCATACGGTCCCTGTCACAACTACTTAACTCTGCCTGTGTAGTGTGAAAGCAGCCTCAGATAATACCTGAACAGATGGCCGGGGTGGATTTGTTACCCGCCCTGCCAGCCATTGTTTGCCTTCAGTGATCTAGTGGACATTTATTATAGAATCTCCACCCAATAACTGGAAAATGCATATTATTCTTAAGTATTGGGAATGTACAAAAATTAATCTCATGCTAGATCAGAAAGTAATATTCAACATATTTCAAAGTATCTGATCAATAGAACATGTTCTCTGACTACAGAACAGTAAGATGGAAATCAATAATAAATAGCATAGAAAAGAGTTTCCTAAAGAAGAAACAGAAAGGCTCAAACCTTAAAGGAAGAGATTGGTACAGTTAAGAAATTTTGTTCATTGAATAATGAATGGTGAAAAGAGAAAAACTAAAAAAACAGGCCATGCACTTGGGGAAGATTTTTGTAATACATAAAACCAACAAATGTGGTTACTATCCAGGATATATTAAGGATGGCCCCCCCAAAAAAAAACTATTTAAAAAGATCAGACATAACCCAGTAAGAAATGGGCAAAAGGAATGCACAGGCATTTCACAGATTATGAACTAGGAATGGCCAGTAAACATGAAAAGATGCTCAATCTCGTTAGTGATAAGGAAATACAAATTAATACCAGAAAGGCATTTTGGTTTTTTTTTCTTTTTTACAAAAATCAAGAAATCTAATCACATCTAGGTTTGGTGAGGATGAGGAGTAGGAGCTCTAACATGGTGCCAGTGAGAGTGCAAATTGTTTTGACCCCTTTGGGAAACAGTTTGGTCTTATCTAGTAAAGTTGACATGCCCACATTCCGATTATTCTGTTCTTAGATCTCTGCCATCATGCTGTGGGACGCTGATGTACTTCCGCTTACTGATCCCCTAATGGGCAGAGACTGTGGGCCCGTAGCCATGTCCAGGACGCCACACATCCTCTAGTCACCTGCAGTGTACCATTTAAATACCTTAATTTTCTATATATTCCCTAGTATCATGAGAGGCAGGAAGCACTTCGAGACAAGTACACGAGTGTTAATGGCAATGTTTTGTAGTAGCCTAGAAGTGCAAAACAACCCACACATCTATCAATGGGGGAGTGGCTAGATAGTCGTGTATTCATGCAGTAAATACTGTTAATATAAAGCTGTGAAATTAAACCATAGCTACTTGCAACAATATAGATGTGTCTCAGAATGTTGAGGAAAAAAGCAAATTGCAGAAAAATACATGGAGCGTGATACAATTAATACAAGATTTAAAAACAAGTAAGGTAGAGCTGTATAATTTAGAGTTACAAAAATGTGTAGTATAACTAATAAAAAATAAGGGAATGTTAAACACAGAATCCAGAATAGTGGTTCCTTTCGGCAGGGTGAGAGGTGGGTACACGGCAGGAAGATGTGCTTGGGAGAGCAGTGAGCTGGGAAATGGTCCATTCTTTTTAGGTTGGGTGCTGAATGAAACGGTGTTCATTTCATTATACATCTAAGTTATAAATGCTTTTATATGTGTGCAATATTTTATAAATAACCAATATCAAAGTGATATCTTAAAAACCTCTTTATCAACAACAAAGCAAACTCTCCAAAACAAAAACAACAAAAAAAGAAAAACACTTCAGGGCTGGTAAGATAGCTTTCTTGGTCACCAGGGACTTAGACTTCTTCTACTTTTGTACCCATCATTTTAGTTCATGCTTTCCATTCTCAAGATCACCTCTAGGTGCAGGACAATTTTGGGGACTACTGCTATCCCATCTTCACTCAAGGCAGGAAGAAAGAAGGGGGAGAAGGGCAAAGGTGTCTGTGTAAGTCATGCCTTCCTTCTAGGGAGCTTTCCTAAAAGTCCCAACAGCAGCCTCCCCTCATCTTTCACTGACTGCAGCTTGGTCACATGGCCATGCCTACCTGCAAGGGAGCCTGGAAAATG